TTTAAATCAGCACATCATCTGTAAATCGTATCTGTATTGCTTGAGAAATCATCCTCCGAATATTTGATTCCTGCAAGAATTTTTTTTAAAAAGCTCAATGCAACATCTCCATGATGTGTTGGAGTTTAACAGTTATTAGGTAAATGCAATGAGATTGCACATCCAAGTTTTATCAAGTGGAAATCACAAGAACAATGCATGATTCCAATATGCACCTGTACTTTGTTGGATATACACGAGAAAAAGAGAGTTGTCTGAGCATTCAACGCAGGTTCAAGTGGGTTCTAAGCAAAACGAATAGCAGTGAACTCAATTTAAGCAAAGGCAACGAGGCATAAACAGTTCAGCAAAGAACAAACAAGGGTCATTTGCTGAGTTCTGGGCCTTTTGATCTGGACCACTGGTTTTATTTTGGTTTGACATGCTTCTTGATATTTTGGCATCCGAAACTTCAAGGAAGCTACAAAGTATTCCTCGGGCAGCTAAACCCACCCTCATAATTTTATGGTAAAAAGAAGATATGATTTCTGATTATGAAATCTAAGTTGAAAATTACGTGAGCACTCATTTTACCACTGTTGGTGGTGAAATTAACTGAAAATTGCTGCAATTTCAAGAGTTGGTTTTGGAGATTTTCCACTAGAATGAAATATTCGATTCATTTCCTTGAAGAACCCTTGCTCCAAGGTATGTTTTATTAACTATGCTAACGAGATAAAGAACAACAAGAATACCATATTTACCTAGATTATGAACTTCCTCAGAGGCCTTAAAATTCTGTCTTATATGTATACTAGCCTCTTGTATAGAAACACCTATATTGGATCCAAATTTCAAGAAAAGAAGTGTTGGGACCAAGACCGTAACATGAAGGGAAGAGGAAACACTAGCATCTTCCTACGTTGTAAATACTATGTTATTTGCCTTCTTTTCTCCATGGGGTGCAGGAGCTAAAGAGAATGCAAACAAAAAAGGAAGAAAAGACGAATACGAGATGATTAAGCAGAGCTACCTTAGNTGCAGGAGCTAAAGAGAATGCAAACAAAACAGGAAGAAAAGACGAATACAAGAAGATTAAGCAGAGCTACCTTAGATTGTTTTAGACAATGTATTCACCCACATGCATCCACTTTGTAGATGACCACTTGTTCCCTCTGATGACAGGGCAACCACCTGGTATCAAATTGTAAGATGTGATGCTTAGGAACTCAAAATTAAGATACTGTCAAATGATTATAAAGTAGCTACTAGCTCAAACAAACTCAATTCTTTTGGGGATAAGACTATAAATTTTTGTTCTAAAATGATATTAAATAGGGACCATATTCTCTCATTTTAAGCAATAAAAAAAACTAGAAATGTATTAATATATGACTTCCTTAATACTCTTCAACATGTTACATACCTTAGCATTTTTTTAATTGTCCCGATGAATTTCCTTGTTTCTTTTTTGAGTGTGTGCTTGGGGGGGGGGGGGGGGGGG